AACCACTGGCAGTCATCTTTGAGAATTCCTGGAGAACAGGCGAAGTCCCGGCAGACTGGAGGAGGGCAAATGTTGTCCCTATTTTCAAAAAGCAGAAAAGAGAGGACCCAAATAATTACCGCCCAGTCAGTCTGACATCAATACCAGGGAAGATTCTGGAGCAGATCATTAAGCAAACAGTCTGTGAGCACCTAGAAAGGAATGCTGTGATCACCAATAGTCAGCATGGATTTCTGAAAAATAAGTCATGTCAGACTAACCTGATCTCGTTTTTGACAGAATTACAAGCCTGGTAGATGAAGGGAACGCAGTGGATGTAGCCTACCTTGATTTCAGCAAGGCATTTGACAAGGTGCCCCATGATATTCTTGTAAAGAAGCTGGTAAAATGCGGTCTTGACTATGCTACCACTCAGTGGATTTGTAACTGGCTGACTGACCGAACCCAAAGGGTGCTCATCAATGGTTCCTCTTCATCCTGGAGAAGAGTGACTAGTGGGGTGCCACAGGGTTCTGTCTTGGGCCCGGTCTTATTCAACATCTTTATCAACGACTTGGATGATGGACTCAAGGGCATTCTGATCAAATTTGCCAAATGACACCAAACTGGGAGGGGTGGCTAACACCCCAGAGGACAGGATCACACTTCAAAACGACCTTGACAGATTAGAGAACTGGGCCAAAACAAACAAGATGAATTTTAACAGGGAGAAATGTAAAGTATTGCACTTGGGCAAAAAAATGAGAGGCACAAATACAAGATGGGTGACACCTGGCTTGAGAGCAGTACATGTGAAAAGGATCTAGGAGTCTTGGTTGACCACAAACTTGACATGAGCCAACAGTGTGACGCGGCAGCTAAAAAGCCAATGCAATTCTGGGCTGCATCAATAGGAGTATAGCATCTAGATCAAGGGAAGTAATAGTGCCACTGTATTCTGCTCTGGTCAGACCTCACCTGGAGTACTGTGTCCAGTTCTGGGCACCACAGTTCAAGAAGGACACTGACAAACTGGAACGTGTCCAGAGGAGGGCAACCAAAATGGTCAAAGGCCTGGAAACGATGCCTTATGAGGAACGGCTAAGGGAGCTGGGCATGTTTAGCCTGGAGAAGAGGAGGTTAAGGGGTGATATGATAGCCATGTTCAAATATATAAAAGGATGTCACATAGAGGAGGGAGAAAGGTTGTTTTCTGCTGCTCCAGAGAAGAGGACACGGAGCAATGGATCCAAACTACAAGAAAGAAGATTCCACCTAAACATTAGGAAGAACTTCCTGACAGTAAGAGCTGTTCAACAGTGGAATTTGCTGCCAAGGAGTGTGGTGGAGTCTCCTTCTTTGGAGGTCTTTAAGCAGAGGCTTGACAACCATATGTCAGGAGTGCTCTGATGGTGTTTCCTGCTTGGTAGGGGGTTGGACTCGATGGCCCTTGTGGTCTCTTCCAACTCTATGATTCTAGGATTCTAGGATTCTAGTTTCTGCTCTTCTGTGGTTTCCAGCAATGAGTATTCAGAAGCATACCATAGGCAGACCATAGTCATCATGGCTACGAGCCACTGATAGCCTTTACTTCCATGAATTTGTCTAATTCTCTTTCAAAGTCATCCAAGTAAGTGGCCATCACTGCCTCCTTTCATTACTATCTAAAAATTATTCCTATGTATCATGTAATGAAGTAAGCTTGCCTTGACATGTGCCACTGATCTTTGAGCTATCATTTCCCAATTAATTTCACTGTCCTTGTTGGCAAGAGGAAAAGTCAATAATGTAAAATGGTATTTTTCATCCTATTCTGGAGTTACATAATCTTGACCCACCTTCAGAGAACTGAAGGATTTCTCAATTGTTAGCTACACTGACAAGCCAAGCTGATAAACCACTCTTGATTTCTCGATACAGAGCTGGCTCTCACAAATAATGAATAGACATATCGGCAGCACTTGACACTAAAATGTTTATCTGCCTCATGTCTCATCTTTGCAGTTCCATTTTGCACTCTGTCACGCTTCTGTTGTCACTTTAAGTACCATAGGAAATCACAATTCATTGCAGCACTGCAGAAATGAAGCTTATGCAAAATGAAACAGAACAACAGGCTGACTCCACTCTAAAGCACTCTTTGCATGGGAAGACTGAAGGATTGAGGACCAAAGCACCAAAAGAATGCACTCTGCTGTGTCAGTTTTTGCTGTCTTGAGAACTGGGATACAGCTAGTACATTTCCTGGAAAAACCGAAAGCTCTTTAACCTCAATAGAAGGATGAAGAGAAGAAACAAAACACTCCCCCCAGCTAGCTAAGGAGAAGGGTTGACGTCTTATGGGTTTTAGAGCTCTAAAAAGAGCATGCTGGGAAGACATGTTGAAACAAGCCATCATTCAAGCAGGGTTCTGATGAGCAGTAAGTTTCTCCAGAAAACTAGGGTAGCCTACATAGTGCCCTGCAGATGTTTTGAACTACAGCTTCCATCAACCCTAGCCAGCATGGCTGGTGGTCAGGGTGATGAGAATGAAAGGTTAGCAGGAGCCCAAGACAACTTCATTCCCATTTTATTGTTTGTCCTTAGAGCTACCAGCTGCATCCACCCAACAGTGGCTTTGGTAAGAATGCAACAATTTGTCCCATGGCCTTCCATCCAGTGTGCTTTGAGGACATGTTCTGAACCTGAATCAAGGGAAGCTCTTTCAAACTTGGTCTCTTTGGTCTGCTGGATTTCATGAAACACCTTCACTGGACAACAATGGCTCTCCTCATGCCTAGCCCTACCTTCACCATCCCTGTGGCTTAAACTCCTGCAACTTCGCCATCTCAGTCCTCAAAACTCCCTTCTCGGCTGGCCATGTACTGATTTAGCAGGTGGAAGGAGTGAACGGGGCACTGTTGAAAGCCTGTACAATGTTCTTTGCACACGAGCTAGTTTTAGGCATGGCTTGCCTGGCATGTATGTTGTTTTTCTAGATTATTAATGGAAGTGTTTTTAATAACTGTTTTATTCATATCCATTTCTTATGCTGTGAAACTGCTCTGAGGGCCATATGGTTGGAGAACAAATATATAAATAAATTACGTACTTCCTATGCTCACTGCCAGACACTATGTAGATTGACATGATCATTGTTTTTCAGGGGTTGACAATGATTATCATGCAGTTGTCTGATCCAATGATGGTTCCACTATGAGCTGCCTATCTAACGTGCCAACCATTTGGGGGTAAATGGGCAATAGCTATTGATGGAAGTGATCATCATGTATCTATAGAATTAATGGCTTTTTTAAAAAAAATCCAAGTGTGGACTGCAACATGTTTTTTTACTGTAGACAGTGTGTGTGTTTTCTTGCAGAGTTTCTTATCTGTTATCGATTCCAGAAGAGCAGCTGGTTTAGTCTACAGCAACAAAAAGACAAAAGTGCTGTGGCCCAAGTAGTTAATGAGTCAGTCTCTAAGGTGCAGCGACTTCATTTGTCTTTTTAGCACTAATAAAATGGAGGTAAAATTGAAAGACTCAACATAGTTAATCCAGGTGGCACCAGGCCTTGCTGAATCTCTTCTCATTCAGCTTACAACTAATCAAAACACGACTTCTAAGCATTGCCTTGGCTCATTACCCTGACCACGTCACCCACTTTCTTTGCTTTCCAGCTTCAGTGCTTTCCCATTTTCTGCAACAGCAAACACCCACCTCCTCCCTTTTGCTTTCTTGGTCCCTCACAGCTCCTTCCTCTACCTCACCTATGCTCTCCCTTAATGTGACTCAGCCAATAAGGCTGCTCTTTAATCGCCCCTCTCTTATTACATTTACAGGCAAACTCCTTTAATTGCATGTCTTAATGTGTATGAGAAGGGGTCAGTGTCTTAATACATCACGTCTTCAATGCTCCATGGTTTGATATGCTCAAAAGCATCTTGATCATTTACAATATTTAGAAGCTGTACTAGGACAAAAAGTGTGGTTAAGAACCAATAATAAGAAAACAACAATAACAACAGCAAACAGTGATGTACATACAACTCAATCTTATATAGGAATTATGTATTTCCTCTAGTCTGCAAAGTTGTTGGCATTGGCACATCCTTTCACGTAAAAGTCTCTGGCCCAGAACAAAATGTTTATTACCAGGAGATGGTAGTTGCTCAGCAATAACTTTGGTTGCTTCCCCTAATTTTTATTTTTATTTTTAAATTTGGGTGGGTGCTCAGCAAGTTCCACCACCTTTTTTTCTAGGAAAAAAAACCCTTTAACACTGCATTAAACACTGCATTGGAACATCTGGATTATTTTCAGCCCTTAATTTCCAACTGCAGTATACTTTTATGCTTTAAAAAGGTTTTAGAGGAAGACGTCTACAAATATTTTCAGCTACTCTAAACTGTAAGTCTCTTACTTGTTGTGGACACTATGTGAATGAATAAATAAAGCAACTCAGCAACCTGAGAACTTTTCAGCACATTAAGGTTGCAATTCTAGGCGCACTTACATGGAAGTAGATCCCATTAAACCTGTGTATAACATTGCACTGTAAATAGCTCTTTAACAATTGATATACAAAGGTATCCAGTTTAATTTCAAATTACCTTGGGGTCCCTCAAGATGAAAAGCTGAAATGGTATATAAGACTTTTGAAAACTTTCTTTTTCATGCCCTGAGGACCAGCAGCAATCACGTAGGTGGTGCCTTGTGAAGTAAGTAGGATAGCCATGTTCCCTACCTCACAGAGGACACTCATCTATTTTGGCCCACAACTTTGCCCCTAACAAAGCTGAGAGTACACCTTGCTTGCTTGCTTGCTTGCTTGGATGGATGGAGGTGACAGCAGGGTGTGTGTGAGTGTGTCTAGAAACTAGCCTACTACACAAAGGCAATGTTTATATTCATTGCCCCACCCACTTTTGCCCCTAGTCCTACCTACCACGAGCATGTGACACCCCCCCCCCCCAAGAAGGTAGCTCAGAAGGGAATGCTGCTCCCAGGCTGAAAGAGATTCTCCACCTCTTATCTTGTGTCCTATTTCTCAGTCGGTAGAGCATGAGACTCTTAATCTCAGGAACGTGGGTTCAAGCCCCACACTGAGCAAAATATTCCTGCATTGAAGGGGGTCAGACTAGATGATCCTCATGGTGCTTTCCAGCTCCACAAGTCTATGATTCTATTCTAACAGTGGCCAGCCAGATCTGGGAAGCCCAAGGGCTGCATCTTAAGGCATCTTAAGCCCCTCTTCACAGCTGTTTGCCTCCTACCCAGCAGCTGGTGTTCAGAGGCAACTTGACATTTCCATTAAGCTATTGTGGCTAACAAGAAGAACATCGGAAGAGGAGTTCCATGGGACTACTTACAAATGACCATAAGTAATGCAAATGCTAATTTTCATCCCAAAGGGCTGGGGGAGTTCCATGGGACTGGGACTTAATAATGAAAAAATCTGTGCTGCTAACCGGCCTCTCTTTCCTTAAACGGATGCTTGTTTCTCTGATAATCCATGCTGTGCTGCAACAGGGGAGTGCTTAATGCATTTGTGTCGGGGAAGGCCTATTTATTCTGACAAACCTATCAACCTCCAGGGTGTTCTTCCACCATGGAACTGATTTTACATCTCATCCATTATCTAATAAGATGTGAAAACAGTTCACCATCTCACCCAGAGATCAGGCTTATTTCCACTGAAGGCAATGGGATGAGATCATTGTCCACAGAGTTCCTTTCAGCATATGAAAGAACATTGGAAGAAGCTTCAAACAGGACCAGCATACAAAACACACACACAGAGAGTTATAGCAAAGCCTGCAGGGAAGATGCCAGAAAATATTTTCGTAAGGCAACCCACCGCACAAATGTATTAGTTGAAAGCAGGCCTGTACAATGTTGTGACCCACAATACTGAACACTGCCACTCACTTGTGCACAGTGGTTTGCCCTGACAGGGACTGCTAAAAGCGGGAAAAAATGTGGCCACACAGCCATGTTGTAGACTGTTATGTGAGAAAGTGGTATAGAAATGCTTAAGCAAGTTGCGGAGTTCTGCTTTAAAATGAGGGTGGATAATTGTGAAATCCATTGGTTAGGCCGATAGCAGGAGTAATTGGCTTAAGTTAAGCCAATGTCAGTTACTCTTGACATTGGCTTAACTTAAACCAGTGTAAATTGAGCTGGCTTTTTATATTTAGGATTGTTCTGCAAGTTGAGCTTTGAAACACTGTCTCCATATTGGGAACGCCCACCACCCACTTTATCCCAACATTGGGAATTGCAACAAACTTGGATTTCTGTTGAATGAGGTTATCTAATAATAAATATCAGAATTACCTTACCGGGTGATTTGCAAATGCGTTTGGAAACCATTTACTACTAGAAACATTTACAAGAAGGTGGCACAAAGGTGTTCAAAACAATGTTAAAGAAAATCACATGAATAAATGAAGTTTATAAAAACCTCCAAAACCTGAAAAGTATACCAAATCAGGAACACGCTGCATAAATCAGAAGAGGCAGAAGAGACAGGGATTTTTGCACCACAGTTGTAATTAAAGCAGGGCTTCTGTAGCCTTCTTCAAAGGAGCATGTTTGTAAAGAACAGTCCTGCCTAGACTGGTAGCGGCACAACAGCAGGAGTTTGGCAGGATGGTGGTGGGAAAGCAAGGAGTGGATTGTGTGTGGAGGGGAACAGAATGCATTTGCTCTGTTGTGGTTTCCTGGCACTGGAGGTGACACCATGGTTACAACTTCTGAGAAAGGAGTTGTGGCTCTAATCTGCGTGGAAGGTGTGTCATCAAACGATACGCCTGGCTATCTATTTCTAAGTGGGTTAGTGGTGGTTGCTATAATTGTTCAGTGGTGAGGGGAAAGCATGCTGCCTATGCACAGAGGTGCCTTCTTTAGCATTACTTAATTGATATTTTTGCTTAAAAATTCTAACCATGAATATACCAACTGATCTCACCTTGACTAGTTCATGTATTGCTGGGCCTCAAAGTCATAAAATGGGAGCAATGCCATATAACTCGTTTATGCTTAATCATGAAGTGCTGAGCTATTTTTTAAAAAAATGCATATCCATTACCATCTTTACTGTATTTCAGTAAGACTACTAAAGGGTAGTTTTACAATGGGGAACATTTTCGTCTTCACCACTGCTGCAATTCAGAATTAATTTTCTTGCGAAAGGAACAAAAGTTCATTTATTAATTTGCTTATGTTATTCTGTAAAGTGCCACATATATTGATGGCATATACACCCATACATATATCTAGTTAATTACAATCTGTTGCTTGTCAGCATTTACAGGGTTATCTCAATAAAGCATGGACTCAGTCCTGACTGGGTATTTACAATAATGGGAAGCTGCAAGGAGTCCACAATTAATCTTTGTTATTACGTTAACTATATATGAGAGCTGTTAGACAACTCAGTTATATTTCCTTTTCATTTGTGCCACTTTGATTACCAAAGATGTAATACTTCCACAGAAGGACACATGCTATATACTGGAATTGTTTTTAATATACATGGAATTGTCTTTAGTAGTTTTTGCATGTGGAATTCTTTTTAATTGTTTTAAGTGTTGATGTTTCTACTTTGAGATCGTTTATGGGAAGTGATTCATGAATGGAATAAAATTAGTTAATATATAAATACACCCAGCCTAAAATGAGTGACTCTTTTTTCCAGAAGATGGCAGTAGTGGTACATGAATCAATGTTTATGGGAAAGCTCAGCCAAGCTGAGTGAAAGTCATGCTGAACAGCCAGGACTCAGTCCAGGGTTACTAAAAGCTGATACACGCAAAACTGGTCCTGACAGACAAGCCCATCTCATAAAGAGAAATGGTATTCAGATGTACCGGAACATATGAAAAGCAGGAAAGGCTGCCTGCTATTTCAAGGACACAGAGTCTTCTTAAGAAGGCTGAATGCGACAACAACTTTTTCAAAATGGGTATCCAGAGATTAAGATGCTAAGAATTAAATCACCATAAATTCAGATGCTATGGCATTTCTCTCTGCCCTACCCTCTTCATCCACAACCTACCTCAGAGCAAGGGAAGAAAGCAATGGGAAAGGAACATTTCCAAAGTAGGAATAAACACATCACTTTTGCCATTTTCTTTATGGCAGCTTGAGCTGTCACTACAACCCAAGTAGTGGCTTGCGTTGCTGCCTCTGAAAAGCGCTCTCCAGTGGTGCTGTCAGGGCAAGACTCTGAGGCTGGATCCAGACACATTAAAGAAGCATTTCAGTTAAACGTGTTGTAAATGTAAACAAGGAAAACAGGTAGAGAAAAATGGGACTCCACAGCGCCATCTGGTGGTACAATGTTATACTGTGTACCATGGTACCTCGGGTTACATACGCTTCAGGTTACATACGCTTCAGGTTACAGATTCCGCTAACCCAGAAATAGTGCTTCAGGTTAAGAACTTTGCTTCAGGATGAGAACAGAAATCGTGCTCTGGCGGCGTGGCAGCAGCAGGAGGCCCCATTAGCTAAAGTGGTGCTTCAGGTTAAGAACAGTTTCAGGTTAAGTACGGACCTCTGGAACGAATTAAGTACTTAACCTGAGGTACCACTGTAAACAACGCATATAAATCGCTTTTTTTTTACCAATCTAGCTGAGCTCTGAGACAGACATCCAGAGACATGCTTAGCAGAACAAGCAGGAAGGCCGTTAAACATAGCAAGGCTGGCTTACAACATTTTGAAGTAAATTAAGTCATATACAGTGGTACCTCAGGTTAAGTACTTAATTCATTCCGGAGTTCCTTTCTTAACCTGAAACTGTTCTTAACCTCAAGCACCACTTTAGCTAATGGGGCCTCCTGCTGCTGCCATGCCGCCAGAGCTCGATTTCTGTTCTTATCCTGAAGCAAAGTTCTTAACCTGAAGCACTATTTCTGGGTTAGCGGAGTCTGTAACCTGAAGCGTATTTAACCCGAGGTACCACTGTACATTATCATCTAAAGAGCCACTTATCATAAAACTACCAACTCCAGAGTCTAACATTATCTAATTGTACTGCTGGTGCACTCTCCTTACTAAAAAGGAGACATAGCTACTTGGATAGGCAGCTGGAGGACAGAACGTGAAGGAAGAGCTATGAGTGGAGGGAGGGAGCCTCTTTCCATCCTTTGGACCCCTTGGGAAACTCAGCAAACCTGCTGGACCTTGACCTGGGTGTGGAGGGGGCATCTAGATGGGACACAGCTGAGGGCAGCCTGAGGAAGTACCATCCACTTTGGGAGTCCATAGTGAGGGTGATATCCACTTTGCCAGGAACTATTCTTGTTGTGAGGCTTTTATGGGTGAGCTGAGAGTTTGTCTGGACCCTGGGTAAGATCCCAGAGGCTGAGAGGGAGGGTGTGTCAGAATGAAAATGTATATGTGTGCGTGTACACACACACACACACACACACACACACACACACACACACAGTGCTTTTTTCTTAAAAAAATAATGTTAAGAGGTACTCTCATTTTCCTACTCATATTGAAATACTGCCCCTCAATGAGGCCAAACTTAGATTCACAAAATGTTTAGGGGTATGCGTCACCCCAGAAAAAAGCACTGTGTATATGTACCGTATGTGTGTAACTGTAATTTTGTAATATTTTGTTTAAGTTGTTTGCTGTTGCTTCAATTTTCTGTACACTGCTTACAGATATTTTTAATAAATTAAGCATATAGAAATTAAATCATCATTGCCATCATCACTGGCAAAGAATGTATAGGGAAGACTCTGAGGAGAAGTGGAAGAGAAGAGCTGCCTTGTCCGACTGGGATGGTCACTGCCAGTAGTGATTTTATGCTCCGGCATTTCAATAGCAGGGGAGGCCCATCTATTAGACAAAGTAAAGCCATTTGCTTCAGGTGGCAGATATGACTCCCCCCCCCCACTGCACGGCTGCAGCTGCGGGTGAGAGTACAGTTGCGGTGACAGGGATGGCAGAGACATAAGTGTGATAGTGGGGACCTGGATCTGCAGGGTATGTGTGTCACCTTTTGGTCTGATCCTATGCACCTGGAAAAGTCAAAGACTCCTGCAAAAATAAAGACTTCAGAGGTTTCAGAATTCACATTCAAGGCC